ATGCGAGAAGCAACTGCAGATTTGGGATTTCAGATGTTAGAAATGTTTAAAGAGCAGTATTAAAAGAGCAACTACATTACTTAAAAACTGCAAGAAACTCACGACTTTTTTTTTTTTTTTTGCCTGGAAACTTAACACCATAACGATGTTTCTTGTTTGCAACCTTCTTTTTTTGTTCATTTAATTCTTCGCAATTATTTATTGCATTTTTAGATGTTTTAGTGTTTAAGGGGAAAAATTTTGAAGTTGTCTATAAGTTACAATATCAACAGATTTTTCTTTTTGTTGAAAATGAGTAGGAGAGGAGGTGAGAAGTTTAGTCCACCAACGACCATCGATTTTTTTTTTTTTTGCCAAATTTGTTTCACCGAATTCTCTGTGCATACCTTCACTTTATAGGTTTTTACAATTTACAGCACCAAAAAGAAGTAAAAAAAATGAAACAGCACTTCTTTTGACCATTAATCTGATTAAGGGAGAATTGGTTAGTTGACTACACCCGGAATTCTATTTTGTCAGTTGTTGTATCAAATTCCTCGGCTGGGACACTGAGTAGTGCAAATTTGCGATACATACACGTATATATGCATTATATACATCTATACAAAAACACAGACGTTTTCAGGTACATACGGATATCTACATTTATAGACAGACTATGATTATTTTAATGTATTGGCGATGGTTAGTTAAAATCAGTCATCAAACTGTGTGCATCACATGCATAAACCATGTGTGGCTACTTCAGCTATTATACAATTCAACAAATTAATGTTTTTTTTTTGTGTTTCATGTTTTTTTTTCATTGACTAAAATTTGAAGTAGAAAGAAAAAAAAGTGAAAGAGAATGGTTTTGAAAAATAATATTAACATCAGCAATTTAATCGGTGAACCAAAAAATAGATGAATAAATAAATAAACAAAAAGAAAAAAAAGTTAAAATTTATTATTGACTCACTTTTTTACACCTTCTTCTTTGTCTCCTCCCTTTCTCCTCTCTTCCCCCCTCCTCCCCCTCTTTTCCGCCTCCTTTTTCTCCCCTTCCCATTTAACTTTCACTGTATTTTTAGTCCTTTTTTTTTTTTAATTGAATAAGTTTCTTTACTTAAAAATGGTACTGCTTTTTCACTTTTTTACTTTAAAAAAAAAAAAAACAAAAGCAGAATAGAAGAAAGCAAAAAAAAAAGCTTGAAGAATATTACAAAACTGAATTGATATTGAAAAAAAAAAAAAGAATAATGAATTACGATAGTCGTTGTCCATCTGTTTGTCTTATCTTCCGTCATTCTTCTAGTCTTTGATGTATTCGTTCTTCATCGTTCACCGGTTTATCTCATCTTATTTGCCATAATAATTACAGCCTGAATAAATTTCATCAAAGTGTAATGATAAAAAAAGAAGACCAGGCAAAAAAAAAAAAAAAAAA